AAAAAAAAAAAAAAAGAATTACAATATGATTCAGCAATTACATTTCTTGGCATATACCCCTCTCCTGTCAGCTGTCGGACTTGGAGGCTGCCTCTTCACACGGAAAAACAAGGATCCACCTGGCAGAGTCACTGGAAGCAGCAACTGCGATAAGGTGTGTGGACCTTGCTCTTTCCTGCCCCTGATCCAGTCCAGAGTAGACCCGCCCTTTGTAATTCCGGCTTCACCACACTCTCCATGGCGCTTTTTTATCCCCTAAACTGCACCAGGCCCTACACAGTAATGCTTAGCTCACATCAGCTGTTTAAAAGCCACACTCATCTCAAGCTGCAGCATCTCCTGTAACCCACCCAATATTCATGGGGGAATCTGTTGTTTGTTTGTTGAGATGGAGTCTCACTGTGTTGCCCAGGCTGGCCTCGAACTCCTAGGTACAAGGGATCCTCCTGCCTCAGCCTCCCAAGCAGCTGAGACTACAGGCACGCATCACCACACACAGCTTGAGGAGGATATTGCAAGTGTCCCATTTTAGAGATATAGAAGCCAAGGCTTGGAGAAGTTAAAGTGACTCCTCCACTATCACCAAGTCACCAAGAGGTGAGGTACAGGCTGGAACCCACGGCTCCCAATTTCAAATCCTGTACCGTCAGCTTCATTTGAGTTTTCTGAACAATGCCAGAGCCTGGGGCGGGGGGTTAGCGGCAACCCTTGTTCAAACCTCTTCTATTACAAATGAGGGAAACTGAGGCTGCAAAGGGTCAGCAATCCTCCTGGATATGAGAACCAGGGCCAGGACCCAGGTGCCAAGACGACAGTGACCTCCACTTTGGGCCTGGCCTCTGGTGCTCGGACCTCAAAACCCCTCCACTTCAGGCCAGGACACGGAACACATATGTGCGGTGCACATGCGCGTAGTGAACTCCTTCAGGAAGGCTTCCTCCTCCTCCCACAGCAGGGACAAAGCAGGGACAAAGTGACAAGGCTGGAGGGGTAGTCACAGTACGGGAGCTGGCTTCTGGGCTGGCTCTACCACTGACTGCTGGGTAGCCTCTACTCTCTGGGCCACAGGTCTCTTTTCTTTTTTTTTGAGATAGGGTCTCCTTATATATACCAGGCTGGCCTTGAACTCGTGGCAATCCTCCTGCCTCAGCCTCCCAAGTGCTAGGATTACAGGTATGCACACATGGGTAGTAAACTCCTTCAAGGCTTCCTCCTCCTCCTCCCACAGCTCAGGTCTTGATCTGTCAAAATCTGGTAGCAACTTTACCCTTGTGTGCTCCACGGGGTCCACCACCTCCACCCAAGGACTGGGGACAAGGGAGGGTAAGCTGACTCCAGAGAGCTATGCACATGTTGACGGAGAAGGCAGAGCAGCAGGAGGAGCACCAGGGTGGGGTGCAGGTCTGGGGTAGGAGATAGGCGGTGGGGAGGTGCCCGGGGCCCAGCTGGCTGGCACAGGGAGATGCCCCGAGCCCCGGATGAGGCCACAAACACAGGCCAGATCACCACAGAAGAGCTGGGAGTCTGGGCTCTGGTCCCATTTCTACCAGCAACTTGCTGTGCGACCTTGGAGAAGCCACCTGCCCTCCTGGGGTCTTTGGTTTATTCATGTGTAAAACCAAGGGTTGAGTGAGCTCAGGATCAGCAAACTTTTCTAAACAGCTAGGCAGCATTTTAGATTGTGTGGGGCACTTGAGGCCCCTGTAACACAACTGCTCCCTCCTCAGCGCTTTAAAAATGTAAAAATCAGGCTGGGGATGTGGCTCAGTGGCACAGCGCCTGCCCGGCAAGGGTGAGGCCCTGAGTTCGAGTTCCTATATCAAAAAAAAAAGTAAAAATCCAGAAAACTCTTGGGCAAGTTTTACTTGAAAGGGGAGCAAAGAAAAGTAACTCTGAGCTGGGAGTGGTGGTGCATGCCTGCCACTCCAGACCCCTGAGAGGTTGAGGCAGGAGGATCACAAGTTCAAGGTCAGCCTGGGTCACTCACTGAAACCTGTCTCAAAATAGGCAGTAAAAGGAGCTGAGGGTGTAGCTCAGTGCTAAGGCCCTGGGTTCAAGTCCTAGTACCATAGGGGGGAAAAAAGTAAAAAAAAAACAAGGTAAAAACTATTCATTTTTAGCTCATGAGCTATGTAAAAGCAGGCCAGCTTTGCCCTGCAGGCAAGTTTGTCAACTTTTTGAATTAAAGGAATGAAACCCAACCTGTGTTCTGCAGACCCCACCACCCGCAGCACCAAGCATCTTCCATCAGACCAGTTCTAGCTCTGCCTTGATTTAAACGCAAGGGCCCTAGGGAAGAGAATCTCACTGCTAACCAAACAGAAAATGGAAGGCCGGCCGCAGGGCCTTGAGGACTCCTACCAGTCCAACCTGGAGCGGAGCCCAACTAAGGGTAGGAGCCACTCAACACGAGGGGCCTTGAAAGCTTCCATTTCTGCGCCTCTGGACTCCCGCCCCCTCGCACGCTGGCAGGACTTCCCCTGCCTCCTCAGTCCCTGGCAACTTCCAGTCAGACGTCACCAGCTCTACCACCCAGCTCCGAGCCAGGAGCCCCTTCCTTGATTTATTTTCCACCTGTGAAGATAGCTAGGAGTGTGGAGACCAAATTCAAAATATATCCTGGGTGTGACAGTGGACACATATATAATCCTAGCACTCTGGGAGGCTGAGGCAGGAGGTTACAAATTTAAAGCCAGCCTGGACAATTTAGCAAGAGCCTGTCTCAAAATAAAAAATCTAAATGGCCTGAGGTTATAGCTGTGTGAAAGCCCTGGGCTCAGTCCTCAGTATCACACACACTCACACACACACACACACACACACACAAAGACATAGCTGTGTAGCTTCCCAGGTGGGAAGCCTAGGGTAAGTCACATCACCTCTGTGGCTCAGGTTATTTATCTCCAAACTGGAAATAATAAAACCTAATCCAAGAACTGTTAGGAGGAATAGCATGAGATGGAATTACTTGGCCCTGGACATGGTTAAAAAAAAAAAATCTCAGTTACTATTTTCCAAAAAAGTTTTGAGCCTCCTAGGCAACTGTAGTTTCCGCTTACTGTGGGCTTACTGCGTGCTAGCAGCCCTCACAGTAGCGGCAGTCCTGGTGGCAGTGGCAGTAGTAATATAGTGGCCAGTGGTTACTGTCAGACCAAGTGCTTTACTTTTGAACTCATTAATCCCACAATAACCTAAGAGTTCCATATTATTAACTACTATGCCCAATGTACAGATGAGGAAACTGAGGCAAAGAGGGGGTGTGTCATTTGTCCAAACACACACAGCTGATAAGAGGCTGAGCTGGGGTTCAAATCCAGACCCACTTCTGCCCCAGAACACCAACTCCTCATTAAAACAGGGGTGCACGTGTGCTCCCTCAGCAGAAAGTGCAGAGCACACGTGTGGGGAGATGACTGTGCCCCCAGCCGCTGGCAAGATGGGAGGTGGCCAACAAATGCGAGTGCAGAAGGAGAAACTGAGGCCAGCCGCTCTGCCCACCTCCCGCCCCTACCTGAGGAGGCTGCGAGCTCCAGGTCGGCAGGGTCGGAGCCAGTGTCGGATGGGGCGCAGTCCGGGCTGGGCCGGAGGGTGGAGGTGGAAGGGAGGGGCTCGCTGGCAGGGCTGTCGGGCTCCTGCACCTCTTCCGGGCACAGGTAGACTTCGATGGGCCCCTGGGTGCTCTTCAGGTATATCTGCAGGTTCTCCTGGGGAGAAAGGGGAGCAGGGTCACGGCTCTGAGCACTGGACGCTGACGCACGGCTCACGGTGTGCACAGAGGCGGGGGGCTGCCACGGCGCACGTGAGCAGGTCAGTCCCTGACTGAGGCCCACCTCCCTGGGCTACTCTGCTGCCCGGCCCCCTTGGCCCCTTCTAGCGGGAACACTGATTTTCCTTTGGGAAGCCACTCCCCCACCCACTCTGGGGGGGACATGGGGTCCCCAACTTCAGGGGCTGAGCTTGGGAAAGTTAGAGGGACAGGATCGGTGCAGGGAAGCGCATGACACAGTGGACCCTGGGCTCTGGTTGGAATATGCGAAATGAGCTCAGTTCCCGGGGCTGGAGGTGGGGCGGCTGAGCTGGTATCACAAAGCTCTGTTTGCCACCAGAGGGGACAGCCCAGCTGGGAACAGAGGCAGCACAGAGAGAGGCAGGTGGGGGCTGGGGACAGAGAGCTCTAAGTCACAGCCTTGCCTCCAGTCTCCAAATGTCCCCCCTGGACTCCTCACATGGTCCCCCACACACACACCCTTGAATCACGCCGGTTAGACCTGGCTTTCTGGTACCTCTAAGCAGGAGTCCTGACACTTAGCCTTCCCACTGTGCCCACAGGGCACTGCACACAAAGCCAGGCCTGGTGGCACTTGTCTGTAATCCTAGTGTTCTGGGATGCTGAGGCAGGAGGTTTACAAGTTCAAGCCCACCCTGGGCAACTTAAGTGAGGCCAATCTCAAAATAGAAAATAAAAAGGGGTTGGGGATGTAGCTCAGTGTGAAAGCCTTGGTTCAATTCCCTTCGCTCCCCCTCCCTCCCAAAAAAGCACTGCACACGGGCCATCCAGGCCGACACTCTGTTCTTTGTGGAGTATTCCACATGGACAAACCCTATCTCCTTATTTAATTCAGTGCCGCTGATCAAACCCAGGGCCTTGAACATGCTAAACAAGCCCACTACCACTGAGCTACATGCCCAGCCCTGTACTCAGTCTTGTCTTCCTATTTTTTCCTTTTAGTGGTACTTGGGGCCTTTACATTGAACTACAATCCCAGTCCTTTTTTATTTTTAATTTTAAGACGGTGTCTCACTAAGTTGTCTAAGCATAGCTTGAACTTGAGATCCTCCTGCCTCAGCCTCTATTGCCCTCTCAGCTTCTGTCATTGCTGCACCAGCTTGGAAGCCACCAGTGTTGCAATGGGCACCAAAATGGACCAGCAGAGCTTGGGGCTGCTCAGTGTCAGGGACAGAGCTATTAGCAAGACTGAACAAGACCCTCCAATCCTGCTCTGCGCCAAAGGCTTCCCCTCTCACCTCAGCTTTGTCTGGCACTTCCAGCCTTGTCTGCGGAGGGGCCTTGACCGCGATCACCGTCTGCTCCTTAAAATTGCCGACAGCACGGATGTCTTGGTAGGTCACGTAGGCCAGCGTAGCAGCGGGAGGGTTAAGAAAAGTGACCGCTCAAAAACGAAACTCCCGGTCAGGAAGGGTGGCCAATGTTGCAGTCCCAACACTTGGGAGGCTGAGGCAGGAAGACTAGAAAGTTTGAGGCCAGCCTGGGCTACTAGTGAGTTTGAGGGTGGCCTGGGGTACCCAGTGAGGCCCTATCTCAAACCCCCTCTCACCAAAATATCAAACCTCCAGGCCTCTCCTAAGCTTCTGCACATCACTTTTTCACTCCTATGCAGCTCAGAAATCTTCAACACTACAACCAGTCCTTTGTATATCAGCAGCTGCCTTGAATTCTTTAGCAAATCGAAATATGTCATCTTTTTAAAATGCTGCTTTTTAATCGTATACACACACACACACATATATGCATCTATTTTTCATACAGACTATCTCTCGAGCTAGATCATTAGCTCTGAGAAGGCAAGATGAGTTTGGGAGCAGGGGCGTTGAGACAAGGTCTCACTATGTAGCTCAGACTGGCCTCAAAGTTTTATTGATCTTCCTGTCTCAGCCTCCTGAGTGCTGGGATTATAGGCACAAGCCACCACACCCCACTAGAAAGATCTCATAAAATTTCCTTGTATTTCTCAAAATGTCTAGGATCCTTCCAAAAATACAAGGTCAGAGCCAAAAACCAACGAGGCCTGAAACTATTTGGTACCAGGAATCAAACTCATGACCTCGTGCTTGCTAGGCAGGCGCTGTGCCACTGAGCTATATTCCCAGCCCAAGACACAAAACCATTTGGAAAATCATGAAAGAGCCCTAGTAAAGTCCATGTCCACTGACTTCATCATTCCCATCCCAGGAACATAACCTAGGGTAATAGCAAAAATACGGGAAGACATTCTACATCGAAGGTATTCATTGCTATGCTGCTTACAAAAATGGAAATCTGGATGATCTAAATATCAGTTCCGGGCCTTAGCAACACAACAGAGTGTAGTCTGAATAGGACAGTCTGAAACTACTTCTTTTAATAAAATTTAAGACAATCTCAATTAATCTTGCAATACTCCTGCATCGGCCTCTCAAGTAGTTGGGTTTTATATGTTACCATGTCTAGCTCTTCAAACCACCTTAAAGGTGAGGTTCAACCATATGAACTTGCTTTATTGAAAGTAAAAAGTGGCCAAAGAACAGCAATTTCATGAAGCGCAACCAAATGGGTTGGAAAGATATAACGACACAGAAAGATATCTATAGTAATATACCAAATGGAGAAAGTCAGACTGAAAAATGTTATACAGTAGGCATGGAATTATATTTAAATAACACATAAACATATGGATGAGGAACGATAAACTGGGTAAGGAGGTACAAGCCAGCACTCCGGGAGGATGAGGCAGGAGGATTCCAAGTTTGAACCCACTGTAAGCAACTTAGCGAGATCCTGTCTCAAAATAAATTTTGAAAAGGGCTGCAGATGTAGCTCAGCATGAAGCCCTGGGTTCATTCCCTAATAACACACACACACACACACACACACACACACACACACAAACTATGACTATGTTAAATTAGCAGATCACTATTTCTTCCCTACTCCCTCCATTTTCCAGATGTAAAGAAATGTACTAGCCAGACATGGCAGCACATGACTGTAATCCCAGCTACTTGGGCAGCTGAGGTAGGAGGATTAACGTTTGAGATCAGCCTGGGCAATACAGTGATTTAGCAAGAACCTGCCTCAATGCCTGTAATCCCAGCACTCAGAAGGCTGAGGCAGGACCATCACTGTAAGTTTGAGGCCAGTCTTCCCTACATGATGACTTCAAGGACAGCCTAAACTATGTAGTGGGACCCTGTCTCAAAAAAAATAAAATAAAATAAAGACCCTGTCTCAAAACAAAAAATTTTTAAAAGGGCTAGGGACGTAGCTCAGTGCAAAGGCCCTCAGTTCAATCCTCAGTACTGCTAAATACATACATAATTTGTTTTATTTTTAATAGTCTTGCAAGGAAAAGTCACTGAGAGGGAAGAAAGAGTTGGGCCCGACTCTTGGTGAGAGTCAGTCCCTGCAGGAAGTAATGAATCCACTCTGGAGAGGTGGAAACCTGCACTGGGCCCTGCTCCCCGCCCCGCCCCCCGCGAAGAGGATATCTCTTGTTGGCTGTGTCCTCGGTCAGGTGCTTGAAGCTGAGAGAACAGCTCTGGATAAGCTGGTCCAAGGCCTGCTCGGCGCTCATCAGCTCCTTCAGCTCCTGTCCCAGCTGTTGCTGCTTCGAAGGCTGGGCGGGGTCTTCGAATATTCCCCTGCCTCTGGGAACAGAGCAGCCCCCAACATCAGCGCCTGTCCGCATCCAGGGACCCCAGCCCCAGCTCTGCTGTGCAGAGCTGCACTGATGGAGTGGGAGAACCTCCAGGAGGAGGCTAGTCACGCGGTCCACGGTGGCGTGACACCTGCAGGGTTGTGCAAATCAGTGGGCCAGCCTAGCTCCAGGGGACTGTCCATGGCCTGGAACTTGAGGTTGGGGGCTGGGCTAGGGAGAAAAAACTAGTTAAGGCCTGAGCTCCATTTCTATAAAGCTTTCAGCTCAGTCCAGCCCTAGGCCTCAGCCTCTCCTAAATGGAAGGGAGGTGGAAAGACCTCGCTCTTGAGCCCCTGGTCTAGGTTTTCATAGGGTTCACCCCAGGGCTCCAAAGTCTCCTCTTTAAGGCCTTCCAGAAGTGGGGAGCGGAATCTAGGTTATTCCTACTGAGCTCCCAGGAGACTGTGCTAAGCTAAGAGAGAGGGATCTTGGGATCCCTGACACAGGCAGCATCCGAGGTCTTCTCTTTCAACCTGCTAGAAATCGTCTTCCACTCTGCCCTGCTCTTCATGCTCCTACTATTACTCAAGCACTTACACCTACTCTTGCACCCCACTTCAAAGACGCTGCCTCTGACTCAGCGTGGAAAACTTTGGTTGCTCTTGATCCACCTCCAGCCCTTGTGCCCACTGCATGCTGGCCTCAGCCCCGCCCATGACACTGGCTATTGCTCCCGGCTCTGCACACAGCACTGGCCCCCGCCCAGGCACTCACACCCACTGGATGTTGTTCTTGGACTTCTTGCGGATGAGCTGGATGCCCTCCAGGACGTTGGTGATGTCATAGATGCGACGCTTCTGCACATCCAGCACCTCCGCTGCCCAGTTCAGGTCCAGGACCCCATCCTCTGACTCGCTCAGGAGGTAAATGAACTTCTTGGTGAGCAGTCCCAGCGACGTGTCATACCGAGTCTTCTCTCCAGGGGACTTGGGCGCTGAGGGGGGAAAAGGGTCCCTCAAGCTCAGGGAGGGCCAGCCTGCAGGGTCCCCTCCATTGCCCTGGACCCACAGCATCTTCTACTGCGCTCCACCACCCACGGCCCACAGGCAGGGGTTTTCACTGCTGTCATCCAGACGGGGAACCTGGTATCTAAAAGGAAAGTGACTCAGCCAGGGGACACTGTCAGGACAGGAAGCCTATACTCCTGATGCCTGATTCCAACACCTTTGCACCACAGCTCGGGGCAGCCCTCTCCACTCCCATAACTACCAGGCCCGCCCGCTGTGTGCAGCTCATTGGTCTAAGTACCTGCCATGCATAGGTATGTGTAAGCCTTACAACACTTTGTAAGATTGCTGTGCCACTACTCCCATTCTTCAGATGAGAAAACTGAGGTACAGACTGATGAATCAACTTAGTTCAAAAGTGGCAAAACTAGGATTCAAATCCAGACCATCTGACTCCATGGGCTTCCTTCTCCACCATTACCCTGTTCTCCCAGTTATACCAGGAATTTGGATTTTGGGTAGAGGGGGACTGACAAGCCTGGATTTGAGAACATTTTGTAGAGGCATAGTTGCTTTTTCTTCCCATGTATTATCTGAGAGGAATCAGTCATATAACATCAGATGGGACAGGCTCATGAAAAGGGTCCCTTTCTCAGTGAGGTTGATGTTGCAAGACCACATCTCAGCTGCAGTGTCTTAAACCACAGGGGGCCCTTTTGCAATCAAGTGACTTGCAAGTCACATAGCAGGTCAGTGGCCAAACTAGTTCTAGAACCGGAGTTAAAGCATCACAGGTTCCTCTGGAAAGACTTCATTCACAATTCCTTAACACAGATGGTGAGCGTTTGGCACTCAGTACTTTGTCACGTTCTGTGCGCGTGGCAGACATTACTAGTTGATCTGTGCACCCTTTGTCAGTAGTCCTGCTAAGCGTGAGATTTCTTCTATGCAGTACTCTGGGCAGCCTCTCCCAATCAATTGGAGAAGAAACTTTCTCCTCATTCCTGATCTAGCTGTGCCTCATTTTACAGATGACACTAGGGTTCACAGAAGAGATCAGACTGGTCAAGTCAGGTCGGAGCCCTGCCTGGACACCGGTTTCCCACCCAGTCACATACCTTCTTCATTAGGTTGGGGAAACTAGCGTTTCTCCCACTCAGTGGTTCAAATTCCTACTTTAAGTAGAATATTGACTTATTTTTAGGAAGATTCCTGGGCCTCTGGATCTTTTTCTTTTTGAGACAGGGTCTTACTACGTAGCTAAGATGGCCTCGAACTCACAATCCTCCCGCCTCAGCCTGAGCCCTTGGCCTCTCTGGATTTGGTTGTCTCCAGAGCCTGAGTCTCAGAGGTGGGAGTATCATTTGCCTCCCAGAAAACAGGACTTGCCCCTTCTGAATGCTCACTTCTCAGGCCACTCATTCGGCAGACAGCCTGGATTAAGTTGAGCCCTATTTCCCCTGAGTTACTTAGCTCTGTCAGCGTGTATGAGAGAGACTCTGGTTAGCCTGTGCCCTACCCTGAGCTAATGTCTCCTACAGAAACATCAGATTGAACTAAATATGAGAACTTTGGGGCCTGGGATGTAGCTCAGCAGTGCAGCGCCTGCCTGGTAAGCGCAAGGTCCTGAGTTCGATTCTCAGTACCAAAAAGAAAGAAAAAAATTTTTTTTTGATGCTTCTATATTTATTTTTATAGTACAATATAATTTCCAAAAAGATATATAAAGTGTATTACTAGTTACTTTACCTCATTTAACATCCTGCCTCACAGTTTGAAATTTTTGGTTTGGTAGTTTTCACCATATGTGTATTGCTTTCATTAAAAAAAAAAAAAAAAAAACAGAATTGGCTGCGGAGAGGGGAGGAACCCTTCTACATTGGTGGGAATGTAAACTCGTATAACCGCTATGGATATCAGTATGGAAAATCTGCAAAATACTAAAACTAGAAACTCCATCTGACCCAGCTATTCTCCTTTTAAGGATCTTCCTGAAAGAGTTAAAGACATGCATACCTATGCTTATAGAAACACAATTCGTCATAGCTACATCTTGGAAGCAGCCTATATGTCCGTCAGCAGAAGAATGGATTAAGCAAACGTGGCATTTACGTAAAATGGAGTACTACTGTCGTAAAGGATAAATTTGAGTCATTCGTAGTAAAACAGATTCACCTTGAGACCATAACGTTAAGTGAAGCAAATCAAGCTTAAATACTGCATGGTCTCTCTTATATGACAAAGCCAAATTATAAATAAAGAGCAATACAGGGGCTGGGGATTTAGCTCAGCGGCACAGCCCCTGCCTGGCAAGCACAAGGTCGTGAGTTCGATTCCCGGTACCGGAAAAAAAAACAATAAATAAATAAAAACAAAGAGCAACACAAAAGATAGACAATAGGATGTAGGCAGAAAGCCCTTTCTCAAATGGGAAGGGGATTAAGAGACAGAGGGAGAGAAGAGGGAAGGAGGATGAGGAAAGGAATTAAGATGTGTGATGTACGTGTACCAACTCCATACCAGGAATGTAACATTATACGCTGCAAACACGGACAAATGAAAAACAAAAAGAAAGAAAATCAGAGGTGCTAGAGACGAGAGGTGGCTTGGCTGGAAAAGTGTAGTCTTCCAGTTTTTGCTGGGATTGGGGCCGGAACTGAGCCTCCTCACTTTTCTCTAAATATGAAAACTAAGCCAGGCGTGGTGGCTCATGCCTGTAATCCCAGCACACGGGAGGCTGAGGCAGGAAGATTGTTGCGAGTTTGAGACCAGCTGGGGCTACCAAGTGAGCTCAAGGCCAGCTTGAATTGCATAGTGAGACCCTGTCTCAAAAAGACCAAAAAAAGAATATGAAAACTTTTAAAAACGGTAAGCTCTTGGTGAGTACTGGTCATCAGACAGATCATAGGCATGGCGCGTAAGAAGCAATACAAGGCTCACATACGCTTTTGTCCTGACTCCACGCTAGCTGCGGGACCCTGGGCACGGACTGAGTCTCAGCTGCGTAGTCGGATGGGAGAAAATCTACTGGGCAGGGTCAAGTGGGAACACACAGGAAACTTTGGTAAACCAGCAAGCGTGGTCTGTTTTCTCTGTGGGCCGCGTATCACTGCTGACGCCTTGGCCCGCTGGCCCCTGTCCCTGCCCCACCTCCCCCCAGGTGCCCCAGCGGAAGCCTACTTTTGGGGCTGGGAAGGCCGTCCACGCGGAAGCACTTCCCCTTGGGAGTTCGGAATTCAGGGACCGCAGGCTTCCCAAGACCCTCCAGGTCCAGCTTCCTTTTGGCCTAGGAGAGACGGGGAGAGAGAGAGACAGGCAGAGTGTGAGAACTGATCCTTCCTCAGCCTTTCGCCCACCTGGGGCTAAGACTTGAGGCCACCGGCAGCCTCCTCCTGTGCCTGTTTGCCACCATGCTGGTGAAGCTCGGCCCCATTTGGTAAGAAAATAGCAATGGTCTGAGAAGTGAGCGTTCGGAGGGGGCAAGCACTGTTTTCGGGGGCTCGGGGGGTGACACTCCTATCTCTGAGGCCCAAGCACTGAAGGCCACCAAACCCAGGGAGGCCAAGTGCTCAGGCTCCCTCACCCTAGGCCACAGGCTGCCTCCACACAACCCCCATGCCCAGAGGACACACCAGCCGGAAGGAGCGGGTAGGACCTAAACCACATCAGGCTGGGGACCGCAGCCTCCAAGCAGCAGCTGGCCCAGCTGGCTAGGGTGCCCATCACAGCCCCACAGCTGGCCCTTATCAGAGCGGAGCCCGGCATCCGCCCAGGCCCAGGGGACTTCCTGGCTTGGTGCCACACCCAGGGAGGTGCCCACATGGGAAGCGGAGCAAACATCCCCCACCCCCATGTTTGGGCTGTCACTCAAGGGCCCGGGGCCTCCTCGATACACTATGTGCCATTCTTTCTTCACAGAGGGGCAGACAATGAGTCCTCCCCCAGTATCTTAAGGGCCAGCTGCTAAAGCCCCGCTGCCCCTCCCCGTTCCCGCCAAGCTTGGGAAACACCTGCTGGGGAAATCAAACCACAGACCCATCTGCTCCTCCCTGCCACCACCGCCACCGGGCCCCACAGAGGCCCAGGGCTACGCTGAGCTGCACTGCCCGGGGAGGGCCTCCCTCCAGGTTAGGCAGGGGCAGGGCAGGGCCAGCACCAGGGCACTGGGGCACAGGTCAGAGGCTGGGCCAGGGCCGCAGGCTCTCTGTGACCAGGGGAAACGCTGCACAGCTAGGAACCTCAGTCTCCTCCTCTGTGAAATGAGGCAGAGCTATGGTGAGGCTTGCAGAGGACACTTCTGTAAAGTTCGCAGCCTGTGGCTTAGCATACAGTAAGTGTTCAGGAAATGCATGGTACTTTCCCTAAAATCCAATCTCAACATCCTCCTTGACACCCTGAGCCCATTTCCTTCCTCTTCTGTCCCCCTGTCGCCCAGACCCCCTGCCTTGGCTTCCAGGCCTATTTTAACACTTGGTAGTGAGGTCATGCTCAGTAGGGCTGAGACGGCTAACTGCTGCCACCCACAGCTGGGCTGACAGGTGGGGCTGAGGGGGACGGCTCCTCCTGCTCACAGTCCCCCTCTCCCTCTCCTGCCTCCCCCAGGAAGTCTTCCTGCGCTGACTGGAGAAGCTCTGCTCCTTGCTTCAAGGAAATGGAAACGATGCTCCTCTCCACTCCCCCACCAAGACCTAGACGTAATCCAAACAGCTCCCTGCGCGTGCCCTTGAACACTGCTTACCTATCTCTCAGCTGGTGAAATCCTAGATTCTGGGGGCACCACACGGTCCTGTCACTTGAGAGAGGGCCAGGCTTTCACTGCAAACTTCCAACGGCTCTGAGCCTCACTGAGCCCCAGCCCCCATCTCCTCATGAGCCTTCCATGCCAGGCCCCATTTTACAGTTGAAGGCACAGCAATGGGGTGAGCTAAGGCCTTTCTCCATCCTGACCGACGCTGCCCATGCCAGGGTCCTTCGCTCATCCTCCAAAGGAATACCAAGGGCAGGGAGAGGAAGGGAGGGCGGGCCAACTGCTGCCCGAAGCAGGAGGGAGCAGCCTGGAGCCTCCCAACGCTACTCCCCTCCCCCGCCAGAGCTCCCACCTGCAGAGCACAGCGGGCAGCCAGGACCTTGACCAGGTTCCTCGTGCTGGGCCTAGCTCCTGCTCCGAGACTCCCGCAGTATCAGTGCTGGCAATCTCCCTTGGCAGACAAGACTACTCAGAGGTCAGGGTGCACTTCCAAGGTCACATAGACGAAGCAGGGCCAGGATCTGAACCTAAGTGCATCGGGTTTCCAGGTCACCCACCAAGCTGCCTCGGCTCTGTCCCACCTACATCCCCCCAGGATTTGCTGGAATATGGGCCAAGGCCTGCTCCCCCCACTCCCCCGCACCCTTACGCTGTGCTCCCAGGCCTGCAGGCAACAGAGTGTCTCTTGCCTAAGGACACCTCTCCGACACGTTTGAGAAAAGTCAATGTACGGGGGCCGAGGGAGTAGCTCGGTGTCAGAACACTTGTCCAGCATGCACTAGGCGCCAGGTTCAAACCCTGGCACCGAAATGAAGGCAAGGGAGGAAGAGAAGAAGGAAGGATGGGAGAAAAATCAACGCATAGCTAAGATGGTCCTGCAGAACCAAGGAGGCAGAGGACTAGCCCCGGGGAGGCTGAGGTCGGGTCCTGGGATCAGACCCAGTTCTTGGCTAGGCCTCCTGCTTCGTAACTGGTTGAGCCACTTGTAAACTGGGGCCAATCCGCCCCCCTCCGCGGAGGAGTCAGCAAGACAGTGCAGCCGGGCGCTCTGCTCCACACGTGTCTGCACAGGGGAGCTGCCAGTACTAAGGTGCCGGGCACCAGCAGAGGCAGAGTTCAAAAGGGAGATGCAGAGACAGTGCCAGGAAAACAAAGGTCCGTGGCCACACCCAAGGCCAGCCTGGCTCTAACCTGGACTCGCACTGGCAGCCCCTCTGGCCTGCTTACGATTCACCCTGCCCACCCCTGGGAGAAAAGCACAGCTCCTTCCTGTGCAGAGCTCCCCAGGGCGCAACCCCTTCCAGGCAGCAGGGTGAGGACACTGGGGCCACAGAAAGGAAAGCGACTTGCTCAAGGTCACAAAGAGATGGAGTCAGGTCTCTCCTAAGCTTCAGATCAGACAGTATGGGACAGGAGCACCGGGAAGGAACTTGGTAGCTAGGCAGCCTGGCTTGGCTGCCTCACCCCTCTGAGCCTACACTTCCTCTTCTGACCTGCTTGTCAAGTTCAGTGAAATGTTTACTTTCTGCCTGGTATGGCGGTGCACACCTACAGTCCCAGCTACTCAGGAGGCTGAGGCAGGAAAATCACTTGAGCCCAGGCAACATTTGAGCTAGCCTGGGCAACATTTGAGCTAGCCTGGGCAACAGAGCAAGACCCAGTCTCAAAGCATATTTTCTGTTATGGAAGTCTAGATAATATAGATGAATTCAAGGGAAAAAGAGAACCACTGCAGGGCCCAACTGTCTTCACAGCTCCCCATGGGCCTGAGACATAATTATGCTTCGTGCCTGGTCAGACAGGGGATTCAACATAGAGAGGGGAGCTCTGTACAGGAGCATCCCCCTCGTCTTCTCCAGGGAGTGGTGGCAAGAGCACTAGACAGGCAGCAAGAAGACCCGGGTTCTAGCCTTTATTCCCCCATCAAAGTTAATTGCCATCCCTGTAAGGGGCAGCTCCCCAACAAATCCTGCTCACCCTGCACTTTGCAGCTTGGCCACAAAGCAGGCAGTCACACCCAGGGTTGGGTTTGGAACGGCTCCAGGTCACGCCCTTGTAAAATGAGTAAGCAGGGACTGAGGTGACCACAGGAGAAGGGGCTCTGGACCTGGCAGGCCTTTAGGGGGTCTCGCACAAAGAGATCCCCCACTTCTCGGCCGGTGACTTGGGCAGGTGTCTTCACTTCTCTGCTTAGCCTTCTCATGTGCAAGGTGCCTCAGGCCGGGCATCACGTCCAAGATAATGAAAGTGAAGAATGCCAAGCGGTGCCTGGCATAGGAGAGGCGTTCAGTAAAGGAGAGCCATTCTTGCTAAGAACCCTGAGCCCCCCTGGGAGGGAGGTAAGACAGATGCACTAGGGTTCCTTTGGGAGGGATGAAAGCAGCTCAGCGCCACAGCTGTTACTGAAACTCTGAGTTTGAAAGCAGCTGGCCAGAGGAGAGACCATGTGTGACACAGAGCCCTTTCCCTGGTATCACCCGGCTCCTAAGTCACGCGGTACTGGGGAAAGTCAAGGTTGCATGGAGAAGGTGGTCTTGGGAGCCAGCCCCCCAGCTCCCTGTGTGACTTTGCTCAGGTCATATCCTCCCTCCAACCCAGAGTTTCTCCCTGTAACATGGAGCTATTAACCCCACCTGCCTCACAGCCTACGAAAACATCTCAGGCTGTAAAATGCCGAACACAAGACACCACAAGACAATAGCTATCTTCAGTTGCTTGACCTATAAAATGGGGATAATAGCATGCCTGCTTCCTACTCTTCTAGTTGGAGATAATGTGCAGGACGGAACTCCGGCCGGGTAAAACAAAGCATGTTTCCAGTGGCAGGAACTGGGGCTCTGCCTACAGCCCGAGATGGCTGGGACTGGTGCCTGCCGATTGGCACGGGTCTGACCAGATGTCTCTGAGACCACGGGAACTCATCTTGTCCTTGTGTGGCCTCCCATACATAAGCAAACCTACAACACCCCCAACTTCCCTCCTGGAGCCTGGTTCCAAAACCCAGGACCGGGAGCTGGAAGTGACCGGAGATGAGCCAGCACCGTACATTTTCAGGGAGAGGAAACTGAGGCCCCGACTTGTCCAAACGGTACATGAGTTAGCAGCAGAGCCAGAGCTAGAGCTAGAAACCAGGCTCCCCCACCCCCACCCTCGCTCCCCCAGGTCCTTTCCAATTCCACCCCCACACGGAGGTGGTTTCGATACCCCAGAGCTCCAGGAATTCCCAGCGCACAGCACACACACCACACTCTGGGCCCTCCCTGGACTCGGCCTGGGGGTTTGAGGAGGAAACAGCCCTCCGAGCAGGAGCCCAGGGGGGCTTCTCCATCTGCATCCTCTGCCGGCTATCAGGAGGGAAGACGGGGTCTGGGATGTAAGGCAGATACTTGGGAAAGGGTTCGTGGGATGAACAACCTGGAGTCCGCCCAAGCCAGACTGGACTGAGACCCAGGAGACGGATCCCCTTTTAAAGTCCTCAAATTATCCCCGGGCCAAGCCCAGTTCTCTTTTCCGGGCCAAACAATGTACCCAAGGTCACACAGCACTGGAGACTCCCAGTGCAGTCCTCCGTACCCCACTACTAAGGACGAGATTATTTCATCCAAAGTCTGAAAATGACGGGTCTTCTACTAGATACTGGGGGCAATGATTGTTTTGGCAACTGAAAACTCATCTTCCTCCTCCCCAACTCGATCCCAGGTCCCCCTCCCTCCACCCAGAAAAGCACGGAGGGAAGCAGTGAGGGTCCCCAGCATTACCGGCAGCCGGCCAGCCGGCACACAGCGCACGACTTGGCCGTCGGGTCCGTGGGGGGTGGCGTCGAGGCAGGTGCCAGGCGCTGCAGCGGGAGGCACCGACTGCGGGAACAGCGAAGTGTAGTAGGTGGTGGTGCCTGGGCAGAGCTGGGGGCTGCTTAGGCCCGGAGGCCACAGCTCAGTGGGGCTCAAAGAGGGCACCCCCTTGGGAGGCTGCGCAACGGCTGGGGCCAGGGCCCGGGGCCCACGCAGCATGGCGACTGCGGCGCCCCCCACCCAAGCCGGACTGGCGCGCCCGCTGGCACTTGCGGGCTCTGGAGCCTGCAGCGGCTCACGCGGCCCGCGGCATGGCGCGGAGGCCGGGCAAAGCCGCCAATGGACGCCGGCGGGGCACGGCCGGACCCTCCCCTCCTGGCCCGCGGCCGAGCCAAGCAGTGCTTGGAGATCGCCGCTTGGAGATCGCCAGGCGGGCAGTGGCACTGCCAGGGGCCGTCCTCCCGGAGAACGACCCGAGTCCCGAGAGCCTGGACGCTGCGATCCGGCCCGATATGGGCAGGGGCTCCCGGAGCCCACAAGCGTGGCAGAGACGCGACGCGCTCGGACAGAAGAGGGGACCTCAAGGCCCTGAGTAGCTCTTGGATCGCTCTCTGGGCCCCGAGCCTTTCTCGGTTTCTTTTTTCTTGTCCCTTTTTTTTAGCGCCAAACTACGTGCCGCGAAATTCAGATTTCCCGCGGAAAATGCCGCGCGCCGATTGGCTGCTGCAACAGGTACAGGCTCCACCCCCCGGAAAGGAGCTGCTTTTGAAGCGGAGGCTGCACCGCCAGCTTCACTGCTTAAAGGGGCCGCGACATCTGCTGTTTCCCCAGCGTCCGCAGGCGCTAGCCGCTCGCGGAAACTGGGACAGAAGGTGGTTCCGGGATAGACGGTACAGTCTGCCAGAGCACTGTACAGTTGCTGGCGAATGAGCTCGGGCTCTTTGGGGTTAGGAGAAAACATTTTGGCGCGGAAGTCAGCACCTAAAGCTACACCCTACGGTGTATGGCAACAGGGCCTTTTGTTAAAATTACACTGCTGTTTAGCTCGATTATATGTATTTATATCCCATTTCCTGCTAAAAAGAACACCAGGATACCTGTACCCTTACTTGACAGGGGCCGAGGGACAGAGCTTAATATTTAATTACTCTTCGCAGGGAAAAACTAACATCTATTGAGCACCTGCTGTATGTCAAACACCACGTTAGACCATTGGATCTGTTGTTTTATTTCATTTCCTCCAACAACCCTGGGAAGAGGAAGGTAACGTGGGAGAGTCTGAGAAGGCGGGGTAACTTGCCCAAGGTCATACAGAGAGATCTGCCAATTTGAGAACTGGCAGTCAATCTGGGACAGTCCAGCTGCGGAGCTCCTGTGTGTTCCAGGAAACGGCTCCTCCCGACTCTCCCTCCTAAACCGCGCCCTGCGCCCTGCGCTTTCACAGGCGCAGCCCGGTGGGGGTCCGGAGTGCGGAGCACGCTCTGGTCCACAGTTGCTTTCCCATGACTTCACGCTCAGTAAATATCTGAACACCCCTAGGTTTCTCCTGCACAATCCTTTTGTCCCAAGGGCCTCTCTCATTCATTTCAAACCTTCATTGCTGATCACCTGTTTACATTCCTCATCTCTCCAGTTGAGGCAGGCTCAGGGAGGAGACCGAGGCAGCGGGGAAGCGCGTGTGCTGATTCCTGCCTGGTGCTGTGTGACTTGACTTGTATGGAAGGCTGTGCCTTGGCATTTAAAGCCCTCCATTATCACCAGCATGTCTGGATTCAAACTCAGGCCCTGCTGAACTAACTGTGTGACCCCAGGCAAGTTTTTTAAATTCTCTGAGCCTCGGTTTTCTCCTGCCTAATAACCCTTACCTCATGGAATCATTGGGAAACCTAATGAGATAATGCAAGTGGCGTTTTCAGCACGGATCCTGTCTCAGCAGGAGCTGCAAGAACTGGCAGCTGTTGCTACATCTCTGACCTTATCTCCAGTACACAGACCCTTTTAGTCTCCGTATCTCCTTGGTCCTTCAAGGACCTCACCTTCCAAGAAGGCTTCCCTGCCTGTGCCCCCCTCACAGCCAGAGCACCTCTTGCCCTCTTCTGACCCATGAACCTCAACAATCAAGGCTTTCCAGTCTTTGTTTATCAGTTGGGCTCTAAGCTCCTTCAAGGGTCTAGGTCAGATTTCTCTTTGAAAGTTCCTCAGAGCCTGGCCTGCCACATGCAGAAAGTGAATAATCAGTGTTGGTCGTAGTTTGTTCATCTGCCTGTCCAGCACAGAGTAGCAGAAGTGAGTGAGGTCTGAAATCAGAAGGTCAGCAGGCCCCGATTAAATCCTGCTCTCTGCTTCCTAGCTGGGCAGACCTGGACAGCAACTTGTCCACCTTTCTTAACCTCCGCTTCCTCGGCCATCAAATACACACCATGCTACTACTTGGCCTGTTTCTCAGGGTTTCAGAGACTGTATTACAGTGCCGGTGGTGATGATGATCCAGAGCGTTTTTTTTTTGTTTGTTTTGGTTTTTTTGTTTGTTTGGTTTGGTTTTTTTCCAGTACCGGGAATTGAACTCACGACCTTGCACTTGCCAGGCAGGTGCTGTGCCACTGAGCTAAATCCCCAGCCCCGATCTAGAGTGCTTTTTGAAAACCTACAGCTCGTATTTATTCTACCAGGCTCCAAGCACCATACCTTAAGCATTGTCTGATCCTCTCAACCCACCTTTGACACAGACGCTATGATTATCCCCATTTTACAGATGAGGGAATCTGGAAAGAATTGTAGCAGAGCAGGTTTGGGAAAGAACCAGGGCCCCAGGGCCAGGGAGGGAAATGGGGGTGGCAGGGTGGAGCTGGGAGGAAAGAAGGGCGCCACGGAGGGAGCTGAGAGCCAGCTCTCTGCGGTTGAGTTTCGAGCAGCTGGGACTGGCTTTAGAGTTTCACCGCCTGGGAACCAACAAATTCCTGCAGGAGGTGTGGGGCACAGAACTGAAGCCTGTCTCCCTGGGCCCTGCTCCTCGTCCTTGAATTCATTTCTGGCGTTGTGATCTTGGTCAGGTTGCTAGGCCTCTGTGAGCCTCGAGGTCCTTATCTTTGACACAGGGATGGCAAAGTGAGCTCTCCATTTGCTGAAAGGACTCTAAGGATTGGATTTAAAGTCCTCAGAAGGGTGGCACGCAGGAGGTACTTGGTATAATGCCAAGCTATGCATTTTACATGCATGACTTTATTGAAAGCTCTCATCTACCTTATCACAGAGATAATGATTTGGACAGATGAGGAAACTGAGGCTGGAACATGTCAAGGGACTTGACTAAGTGCTGGTTAAAGATGAGATGAGGGGGCTGGAGATATAGCTCAGCAGCACAGCACCTGCCTGGCAAGCGCAAGGTTATGAGTTCAAGTCCTGGTACCCAAAAATAAAAAAATTTTTAAAAAGATGAGATGAGGACCTGAACTCTGATCTTTCTTTCCTGGGGCACTGAGATCTTCTGAACTAAGAACCAGCCCCAGACCCCTTCTGAAGAAGATTATGTCCTGCCCTGTGTCAGAGGTTCCAGGGCTGTGGACATTGTTGGAGATGGAAAGTATGTGGACCTCAACTAATCAGGAGCCTTGATGCCATTTTCCAGAAGAGGAAACTGAGGCATGGGGACATGAAGTGACTTGCCTGAAACCACAGAGCTAGTGAGTCAGGAAGCCCCTATGCCAGCAAAACCCAAACAGCCCTGCAAAAGCGGCGGGTAAAATCAGCCACGGATGGTGGCACATGCCTGTAATCTCAGCAGTGTGAGAGGCTGAGGCAGGAGAATCTCAAATTTGAGCCCAGCCTGAGGAACTTAGTGACTTTAACAAGACCTTGTCTCAAAATGAAAAATGAAAAAGGCCTGCAGATGTAGCTCTGTATGAAGGTCCCGGGTTCAATCCCCAGTACTTCAAAAGAAGGTGGGGGATCTCTGCCCCATCTCTGTGCTTCTTTTACAATAAACATGTGTCACTTTGGTAATGGGACAATAAAAGTTGTTTGAAGGGCTGGTGATATTTTTCAGTGGTCGAGCACTTGTCTAGCGTGCACAAGGCCCTGGTGAGGGCCTTTGATTCCATCCTCAGCACTGCAAAGCAAAGAAAGAGGAGGAAGGAGGAGAGAAGGAAGGAAGAAACTGTTGCTTCAGAAAAGCTTTGCTAATGATGGTAACACTTTTACTGGAAAACTGTTGTGATGGGGCGTGCATGGGTTTTCTAACAGCGACTGACCCTGAAAATACCGTGTGAATGTTTGTTGAATACGTGATCCCGAGCCCTGACACCCCTTTAGCTGTGCTTGTGAGTGTATCAGAGTACTGTTCTGAGCCTCAGTTGCATCACCTGAGAAATGGGGCCAATCACAACTGTCTCCTGGGGTGACTGTGTCAAAGTGAATCTGGGATGATCTAGGACTGTGCTATGTGTGTGTGTGTGTTCATCAAAATTTATTGAGAAGGCAAAAGATTCAGATGGACAGTTGTCCAGAGAAGAGATACAGAGGTCAATAAGCACATGAAAATAAGCCCCACAGCATCAGTCACTGGAGAAATGATAAGGCCACAATGAGATGCCACCACATCGTGCTCTCTGGAGCAGCTGTAAGAAAAGAGATGGACACTGACAAGTGTTGGCCAAGACGTGGAGAAACTGGAACTCTCACACACAGCTGGTGGAGAAGTATATGGTCCAGCTGCTTTGGAAAACGATTTGGTAGATTTTCAAAAAGCAGCTCTCATGGAGATTCTGCATAACTCAGTAGCTCTATCTCTAGTATACATTCAAGAGAGAATTGATAAGGTATGTCCACACAAGAATGTGTACATAAATTCCATAGCAGCATTTATTAGTAAAAGTAAAAAGAAAAAAACCCAAATGCCCATCAACTAATGAAGTCATATGCGTACATATACATATATGTGTGTGTGTGTGTGTGTGTGTATTACTCAGGCATAAAAAGGAAAGAAGTACTGGTCCATAATACAACATGCAGAAAGTATGAACACATGCTAGCTATAATGTGTTTTCTATAGGCATGATGCCTATAATCCCAGCACTCCAGGAGGCTGAGGCAGGAGGATCACATGTTTGAGCCCAACCTGGACAACTTAATGACTTCTCAAAAGCCTGTCTCAAAATTTTAAAAAGGAGGCTGAGGATGTAGCTCAATGTGAATGCCCTGGGTTCAAATCCCCAGGTGCTGGACAAAGAGAAAGAATGTATTATGCTAAGTGCACGAAACCAGACCCCCAAGGCCACACCCATATCCATCTGTGTATACGAAGTGTTCATATGGACGAGTCTACAAAGACACAAAGTAGGCTAGCAGCTGCCAGGAGAGGGTCAGCCTCATTTTACAGATTGGAAAGTGAGGCTCAGAGAAGCCAGCTGCCACTGTGCTCGCTGATGTGACTTTAGGCTGGTGACTTTGCCTCTTTGAGCCTTAGGTTTTTTTTGGGGGGGGTGGTACTGGGAATTGAACTCAGGACCCTTATGCTTGGCAGGCAGGCACCGTGCCGCTGAGCTATATCCCCAGCCCTTTAACTGAAATTTCTTTCTTTTAGCGGGGCGGTGTACGGGGAATCGAACTCATGACCTCACGCTTGCCAAGCAGGAGCTGTGCCGCAAGCCTTAGTTTCCTTGAGGGTAAAGTGGAGATAACGATGTGCCTGAAAGGGGGTCCTGTGCCTCAGCGAATGCACCTACAGGGCAGCCAGGTCCAATAGCTCCCTTAGGTAGATGTCACTTCGCCCTCCTGTTTGGCCTTTGAATGGAAGCTGCCACGGTTTAAAGGTTAAGGCTGCCCTCTAGAGGTGAGCTCTGGCACGGGCCGAGGCGCTGGGGCCGGCTGTCTTCTGAAGGTACTGACCCGCTGTGGGTTTCCTGGAAGGCAGAGACACGAAGGATGCACCCCTGCTGGGAAGGCATGGGGGAAGGAGGGGCACCGATTTGTCCAGATCCCTTCCAGATGTTTGCAGACCCTGGAGATGGTTTTCACAGGTGCTGGGTCCTGCGGAGGTGGGAAGGACAGCCATCGGATTCAGGTCCCAGTGGAAATGTCCAGGGCAGCTTGAAGGAGCGCCACCTACAGCTCCTGGATTATCAGTTTATTCCCTGCTGTTCCGGGGGTACCTCATTAACACCAAGACCAGACCCTGTGGCTCTAGCTCCCTGCCAGGGCCTTGCCGTCCCTACCACCCAGCACCCGACCTTTAACCTCTTCACACATGGGCCTTAGGTTCTGACCAGACACACTCCTCCCAACTCCCCTCTGACCTCTCTGCTTGCTCCCCATTTGCCTGTGATGTTCTTTGCTGGAGACAGATCCCTCCAGCTCTTCTGCCAGGAAAAGCTGCCCTGCTCTCAGACAGATGCCTTCCTTTCTTTATACCAGATAAACAAGCCGTCGAGAATGTCATGTGGCCCATATCCAACGTCGTCTCACGCAACCCTCAACAGAAATGCGTAGGGTTAGTTTTTGGTTTTTTGATTTTTTGTAGTGCTAGAGATTGAACCGAGGGCCTTGCCCATGCTACTCAGGTGCTCTACCGCTGGGCTACATCCTCAGCCTCAAATGGGTGTACTTTCACTCTTTAACATAACTGAAATACAGGACAGCAAAATCAAGAGTCCGGGTCAAAACAGACCTGCCTGTAGTTCTAGCTACTCAGGAGGCTGAGGCAGGAGGATCATTTCGGCTGGGAGAGTTGGAGATCAGCCCTGGGCCGCACAGTAAGAGCCGTCTCAAAAGGGTGGGAGACAGACCAGGGCTGGGGGTGTACTTTGCTCTTCCTTCTCTTTCTCTGTGGAGCACAACCCCAAAACAATCGGAGCCAGTTGCTAACATTGAAAAATAAGCCTCAGAACTCTTTGGAAATAAACAAGACTTTGGAAGCCAGTCTTTGGAATCCAGGTGGCGGTGGCCACAGGATGGGTGGTGCCGGCTCGCTGCATCCATCTTTGGGAAGCTGGCCCTGACCTCTGCTCCCCGCCGCCTGCCAGTAGTCCCAGTCTGTCGTCAGCTCACCTCATAACTGCAGCTGCTTCGTGCTCTGTGCTCCCGCCAGCCTGAACTGTTCCTCCTTTTCTTTGTCTTCACACTTGTTATCCAGACCAGTGCCCGCTGCAGAGCAGACACACAGAAGTTCTTATTGAACCAATCCCCTGACAAGGTTTTTTTTGTTTTTTGTTTTTGGTCTTTTTTGAGACAGGGTCTTGCTATGCAGTTCAGGCTGGCCTTGAGCTTACTTTTTGTTGTTGTTGTTTTTGTTTTTCTCCGGTACCGGGAATTGAACCCACGACCTTGTGCTTGCCAGGCAGGCGCTGTGCTGCTGAGATAAATCCCTAGCCCTTGAGCTCACTTATGCCTGGAATGCATAACTATTCTCCTGCCTCAGCCTCCTGAGTGCTGGGATTACAGGCATGTGCCACCACGCCTGGCGTTACAAGGCATTTTGGAACAGTAGAAAGATCATTCACAACCCCATGAGTACCTCTGAGCACTGTCAGAGTCTGTTACTGTCCCTCTTTCCCAGAGAAATGCTGAGTATGGGGCTGTGGGAGACCAGAGGTCATCCCAGGGGCCAAATTCTCAGGTACCTCCTTCTCTAGGCCTGCGGAGGCAAAAGAAAAACTCCTCACTTTCTAAACCACCTTCCCGCTCCACCCTGTTCTGTGATCTCTTCTCCCTCACAGGCTGATAACCTGCAATGCTAAACTAGGCACAGGGGCCGGGGGTGGGGGGAATGCACCTGAAATCCCAGCACTCAGGAGGCTGAGGCAGGAGGATCACAAGTGTGAGGAGAACCTTCACTATATAATGAATTCAAGGCTAGTCTGGATTACATAGAGAGACGCTGTCTCAAAAACAAAAAACAAACACAAAAGTGATGCTAACTGGCTGGGGTTGTAGCTCGGGAAAGCGGTTGTACCTCGCATGTGCAAGGCTTTGCTGGGTTGGATTCCCAGCACCAAGAAAAAGATGCTAGTCATTGAAAAATCCAAAACTTTATTCAGTGTTGGGGATAAAATCCAGGGCTTCATGCATGCTAGACAAGTGCTCCACCACTGAGCCACAGCATCAGCAAAATCCCAAACTTCCTGAGCATTGATAAAATGCCACAACTGGAAAATTCCACCCCTGACCTGATTAGGATGGGTTGCAGTCAGGCTGCAGGTACACTAAAAATAATGTACACAGTCACTTCCAGGCTATGTGTACAAGGTGGATGTGAAATGTAAATCAGTTCTGCGATTAGGCTCAGGTCCCATCCCCAAAATACTGTACTTGATTGTGTGTATGCTCGTAGGTCAATACCTGAAATCTAAGGCACTTCCTGCTTGAAGCATTTCAGATAAGGGTTACTCTCTACCTACACTAGCAAAGCCAGTGCACTCCCACCTCAGATCCGCCGCAGGGATCTCAGCAGCCCTGTGAAGATGCCACATATACAATCATCCTTGCCAGGAGTGGTGGCACATGCCTGTAATGTCAGCATTCGGGAGGCTGAGGCAGGAGGATGGTTGAGAGTTCGAGACCAGCCTGGGCTACAAAGTGAGTTCAAGGCCAGCCTGAGCTGCACAGCGAGACCCTGTCTCAAAAAGACAAAAAACAAAACAATCATCCTAACATTCTATAAGTTGTGTATTACCATCACTGCTGTTTTACAGGTGTAGCTTCAGAAATTTGCCCCAGGGTACATGGCAGTTTTTTGGGGTCATAACAGTCTGGCTCTTACCTGCTCTGCGCCCCTTCCCCGGGGAACGTGGGCCTCAGTAAGTGTACGTAGGACAAGAACCCCACCCTCTGCACAGGATGGGTGCGGGGACCAGATGTCACAGGCGTGGCCCCAGGAACACAGCATGTGCATACTCTGGAAGAAATCAGTCTTCATTTTTGGCTCCTCTCCAGCGCTGCAATTTCAGCAACTGGCCACCAGAGGGAAGTCATGCACCAAAGACCTAAGATTTCCGGGGACCTGGGTACTGCTTCGACATTAAGAATTCTGCTGAGCCCCTTTTCCCTGTGTCCAGCCCTAAGATCAAGGACATTTCTCACCAGTGCGGAAGTTCAAGCAGCTGATCCATAAGTTACGGTTACGCCGTAAGCCCATCCGAGGTCCTTTTACCAACCCCAGTTCTGGGCTGGGAGGACGGGGGGATGGATGCTGAGGGGGGCCCAGCTGTGTCCCATTTGGTGGCGGTAGTCGTGGAGGGTGGCAATTATCAGCAATTCCCCTCCTGCTGGAGGCTGGGTTCCTGGAGTCACAGCTGCAGGCTGGGGGGTAGCAGGGAAGGCTTTGGAATTGTCTCCCTAGGGGTTTCCATGGTTACAGATTGATGCAGGCAGCCCACTAGACTGGGTCCTTTATCTGCATTGTCTCCTGGGGAGACAAAGGGCTTTGCGGATGGGGGTACTCTATGGAGATCACTGCCTCAGCAGAGGCCTTGTGTGACCTGCTCTGTGAACCCCTCAACCCCAGCTGCTGGGTACAGGAGTCAGCCTTGGTAATCACTCCGTGCTTTGGGGTACCACATTGCTGCTGTGGGGACCCAGAGAGGCCATCCTGGGGAGACATGAGCAAATCCGAGGCTCCCAACAGCAAAGCTGCAGAGGCCTCCCGGCAGTAAATAAAAAATGCACACTCTCTAGAGTGAGATAGGGGCTGGGGATTTAGCTCAGTGGCACAGCGCCTGCCTGGCAAGCGCAAGGTCGTGAGTTCAATCCCCAATACCGGAAAAAAACCAAAAATATAAATTAAAAAATAGAGTGAAATAGCCTCGATCAAATCACGGCTTGGTCCTTTCCTGGCTGTTTGCTTTGGGCAGATTAATTTACTTACCTGAGTCTCAGTTTCCTCATCTGGAAAAGTGGGGACAACACCAGCTTTATAAAATTGCTGTGGAGGGGCTGGGGATTTAGCTCAGCGGCACAACACCTGCCTGGCGAGCGTGAGGTCGTGAGTTCGATTCCCGCTACCGGAAAAAAAAAAAAAAGTTGTAAAATTGCTGTGGGGAGGCGCCGTGCACCAAGCCTGGTGCCAAGATGATGCTCAGAGAATACCCAAGTCCAGGGAGATTCATGGCACGTCCTGGGACACAGGGCTGGCTCTGTCTCTCCGTGCCCTTAGCCAAGGCCCTTCTGTCGGGGCCTCAGCTCCCCTATCTATGACCCAGGGAGCCTAGGTTTATGAAAGATGAAAAGAGAGGATGATAAGAAAGTGCTTGAAAAAGCAGAGCTCAAACCACTAACACATACCCCTGCCTTCTAGGACTTACATGGAGTTTGAAAAGGCAACACATGATCACAGGGCCTATGTGGAGGTGGAATCTTTGGAGGTATGGCAGTTTAGCGAGGTTTTTCCAAGGAGAAAGTGGGATATAAGTAGGCCTGGGAGGGCCTCAGGATCAGTGAGCTATCCAGAAGATTCTGCCACACTGCACCAAGGAAAAACAGGAGCCCAGAGGCATGAAGGGACTCAGGTCCCTGCCACCCAGGGTCATGGCTCGCCTGGTCACAGCTGTCTTCTCCAGGGAAGAGGATACGTGGGTGAGGAGCAAAGGAAGGATCTGGGAGACCTACCGTGTCATCTGCGTCCCGTTCAGTCTCATTCTCGGGACACCTTTCTCTGAGACAAGTTGACCGCTAGGCCCATTTTATAGACAAAGAAGATAAGGATTTCTACCGTTTCCCAATTGATTTGGCAGGAAAATGCGTAAGGCCCGAGAATAAAATGATTTTGTCTGGAGTATGGAATGGACAACTTGCCTAAGGGAAGAGTAAAACATTTCTTCATGCTTAAATCATCAGCAGAGAAAAAAAATCTGTCAAAGGTTTATTACTCATCGCTCCATTATGAGGCACTCAGCACAGAGCTTGACCCGGGGTAAATGCTCAGTAAAGGAAGTTCTTATCACGCTCACTATTTTTGTGATCATTTTGGTGGGTATGGTACTAGGGATGGAATCAGGGTGCTGTGCCGCCAATCTACACCCCCAGTCCTTTTCATTTTGATTTTTATTTATTTATTCATTTATTTTGATTTTTGAGACAAGGTCTTGTTAATTTACCCCACGCATGCCTCAAACTTGGGATCTTCCTGCCTCAGCCTTCCAAGTAGCTAGGATAACAGGTGTGTGCCACTGGGTATAACAATCACCATTATTATTATATTTGTTACTATGCATTCAAGGCAGAGGATATAAAGGTAAAGGCAACTTTTTCTTTTCTTTTTTTTGAGACAGGGTCCCAGTATGTAGTCCAGGCTAGTCCAGGTTGGCCTCAAACTTGCTGCGATCCTCTTGCCTCAGCCTCCTGAGAGGTTACAGGCATATGCCACCATGCTTGGCCTTCCTCATATCTTAGAGGAGTTCAGCCTACTGAGAAAGAAGGGTGTAGAGGGAAAATATCTCTTATTTACATGACACTTTTATATACAGCACCTTACTGAATTCTCACAATAACCTTGTGAAGGTTTTTTTCTTTCCCATTTTAGAGAAAAAGGAAAAAATAAAGTTCAGTGGGCTTCAGTGACTGGGTCAAACATTGTAAAATATGAAATAAAATAAATTTAGGGGGTACAAACACCTTTAGCAGCTGAAAGGAGGCGTTAAAAGCCAATAAAGTATATTAATTATGGAAGGAACATAGATCATAGCCCCATTTTATTAAATAATACATAAAAGATGATTTTTTTTTTTTACTGACTTGCAAAACCAGCGAGGCTTCTAAGAGCTTTCTTTTATGAGGCCAGGTGCTTTCTAGATCTCTAATCCGCCGAAGAACCCCGAAAGGTACAAGTGGAGAGCCCCTTGGAGAAATGAGGGAGCTGAGGCTCAGAGAGGTGAAGCTATGTGTCTGGGATTGCACAGCAAGGAGGGAACACAGCTAAGGCTGGGCCTCTCAGGCTTGGAGCTGCGGCCAGGACTTCCTCCCGGGTCAGTTCTGCCAGGCATACAGGGCTACTCCTGTGCTGGGAGGTGCCCCCCTTCCTGCTTCTCTCCAGAGAGCAGGTCGAGTGGCGGACGTTGGCAAGGAATCCTTCCCGTAAGAGGACTTGTTTCAGCCCATTTGGGGAGCAGCCCAGCGTAGCGTGGCCTCTCCAAGCACGTGTGTCCGCGGGTATGTGTGTTCACGCAGCCTCATGTGTGACTGTGTGTGCAGCTGGCCCCATGCCAGGTCTCACAGAGCCATGTGATAAAAATCTGCTCCCTCTTCCTGATATGTCCATTTTATTTAAAAAAATTAAAATAAGATATCATGATTTTATAGGAAGATACAGATGGCTACGGAATGTATAAGAACAGATGTTTCACGGCAGGCTGAGAAAATGAGTATACTACTTTTGCATGGGTGGAAGGGGGTGTGTGCCAAGCACTATACAAGAGATCCGTATGTTAACTAATCTTCACCACAACTGTCTGTGGGACTGATTTCTATCCTTCCCATTTTACGAGGCAGGGACTAATGACAAAAGAAATTAAGTTTTGTGTCCAAGTTCACACCAGTAGTCAAGAGGAAGAGTTTGGGAATACGAGGGTGTTTTGATATCTGCACGAGCCGGGTACGGTGGCGTATACCTGTAATCCCAGCACTCGGGAGGCTGAGGCAGGAGGATCGTTGCGAGTTCAAGGCCAGCCTGGGCTACAAAGTGAGTTCAAGACCAGCCTGAACTGCGTAGTGAGACCCTGCCTCAAAAAAAGACAAAAAACAAAACAAACCGTGATATTGTATGGTTCACTGCTTGTTCAATCTAAGTGGGTAAGCTTTACACATGAAGGTGACCATAAAGAAGCCAGTGACTGCCTCCTGACAGAATGACAAACCTTGCCGGCTGTGAACGGGAGCAGCTCACCTCTGCCAGGTAGTGTGTCTCTGTTATCGCATATAATTCTCACCACCCGATATATGTATGTGTGTGAGAGAAAGTGTGTGTGCGCAGTGGTGTCACGTAGCTGGCTACACAGCTAAGAAGTGGCAGAGACAGGATCTGTCTCATCATAAAGCTGCTGCTGTCACCCAGGACCCTATCACCTCCAGCTTCCTGGCCTTCTGCCCACTGGGTTGTATTTCCCTTCCCCTCAGCTCTTGTTGTTTTCTAGAGAGTGCAGTCTCACAGGGAGGTGGTTCTGGTCAGTCTGAGCCTGGACAGATTCGCAGGGTGATATTTCTCCACCAGCTGAGATCACACGTTTCATGGAATCATTCCAGATCCCAATAATGAAAAAGTAATAGCTAGGCACTGACGGGAAGTATAAAGACCTGGGGTTTTTGTGTTTTTATTTGGCTTTGGTGCTGGGGATTAAACTCAGGATCTTGTGTACATCCTCAGTCCCAAGATCTGACTTTTACCCCCAGGTCTATGAAGGATTCTTTCCACTTGTTCTTGTTTGAGTCACTTTTCTGTAGTGGGCCTCAGTTTCTTCATCCGTGAAATGGGAACAGTAATGCGAGCTATCACTTCTTGAGTTCTGGCTGTGCCCTGGCAAGCTTCTTGGTGCTTTATATTCAGTTCACCAAGCCTCTGAGGACAGGTTTCAGGATTCCCACAGTGTTACAAGGAGGTGCCTGGGGCTCTGAGAGCTAAACAAGCTTGTCCAAAATGGCAGAACCTGGAAGTGTAGGTGCTGGGCCAGAGGCCTGCATTTCCTCTCTGCGCTCGTTGTTCCTCAGGGAGGGACACTTGTGGGCCAGCAGTCCTGAGCTGCTGTGACTGCACTGTGCCCCAGCACTGCCATCCTTGAAAGACAGGCAGGAATTAAGCTAGGCATCTGACACCACACCCAGCACACTCCCTAATGGGAGTCACCCAGGAGCTACCCAAGTGCCAGCCATATGCCAGCTAGTCTAATCAACATGTCAGTGTCACCCGTAGCTCAGAGGGGATAAACAGCTCACCTGGGATGGCACCGCTGATAAATGCCAAAGCTGGAATTTCAACCAGAGTCTGTCCCAAGACTCTCCCAGGGAAAGCACCAGGGAAGTTGCTGCAGCTGGGAGAGGCCCATTCTGTCGGATGCATCTGTTTGTACGAAGTTTTCATTTGATGTTTTTCTTTTCTTTTTCCCTAGTACCATCAGTTACTGGGATCAAACTCGGGGCCTTGCACAAGCTGGGCAGACACTACCACTGAGCTACAGCCCCTGCCTATACAAAGTTTTAAAAGAGCTGCAGACAATAAGAGCATTGGATGTCCCTACCTTGTAGTGTTGAAGACCTGGGCTGACACTTACTCCAGGGCGACCTTTGTTAGTCGTCTAATATCTGTGAATCTCATAGGGGTGAAATGGGCTCGGTTACTACATAGGCCGTAGAATGCTGCGCACTAGCAAAGGGCCTCAAAACATGTCCTTGTATACATAGGGAGTTGAATCCACGGGGGACAAAGTGATTGGCAGGATGTAGATCAACACATAGGCCCGTTGGGGGTTACCTGGATGCGTCCAAGGGGGACAGGAGGATCATAAACAGTGGCTCAGCCAATCACACATCTGGGCAGACTTTAAGACCTTGGCCCTGATGACACAGAAGGAAGTCAGGTTTATCTGTCCTGATGGTCCCCAAGTCCTCACCATTTTCCTGAGTAGCCTGCAGTGGTTCAGTACCCAGGCATGTCTTGAAAACCCTTTTTGAGTCCCAGAAATGGCATAGCCTGGAAACAAAACACAGTTCAGCAAGAAGCACGGTCACTGAGTGGGAGGGTTATTCCGGGGAGGCCGCGGGGCTCCGAGCTCCCTCGCTGCCACACCACACACATTTTTCGCCCCAAACCCACCAACTGCCAGCTGGCCATCGACCACCTTGATTTAGGGTAATGAGTTCCACATGTTTCTGTGAGAGCCCGGCTAGGCTTTCCCCAGCCGTCCCGGTCTTCCCTCCCTCCCTGCTTCCAACTCCCCCTTGGCCACCCCTGTTCCATTTGCTCCTGCGCAGGGTAGAAGGAGCGGGCTGGGTGGGCGAGGACAGGGAGACAGCGCTTTGGGGAGTCCCATTCCCTGACTTCCCTTTCCAAGCCTCAGGGTGGGGGAGCGGTGCTGTCCACCAGCGCCCGGGAGTCCCCCTGGGAAAGCTGTGGCTGCGGCCTCAACTGCCCCATCCCTGAAGTGGGAATTACGATCCCTGCTTAGGGTAGGGACGGCATCCTGAAAGGGGCCCTGCATAGGAGGCCATGAGGCTTGGGCTCCCGTCTTCTCTTTTTTTTTTTTGGTACTGGAAATCGAACTCAGGACTTCACGCTGGCCAAGCAGGCGCTGCACCACTGAGCTACCTCCCCAGCCTCCCATCTTGTCCTGTCCATAAGCCTGCTATACGTCCCTGAGCAGGCAGACTCCTGCCCCTCTCCGGGCCGCATCTTTGAGTGACTTTGAGTGACTTCTCTACCTTCCATTCATGACAGGTTTTAGGTTCCTTACCAAATGACATAAGACACAGGGAAGTGGACCCCCCTGCCTGTTAAACATGAGGGGCTCTCAGGTGTGGTCCCTGGGAAGCCTAAGGCCTCTCTCCCCTGGCCAACAAGAGGGTACATAGGCTGGCCCCTTTGACAGCAGCCAGGCCCAGGGAGGGCTTCTGCCTGCAGCGCCTGGCGCGGTGGTGTTAGGACAGAGAGTGTCCCCAGCTGGAAGGACATCTCCACTGCCTGGGGAGGGGAGCAGGGCGGCCAAGGAAGGATGTAAACCTGAACTCAGCGGGCCACGGAAAACTGCCCGTTTGTCTGGCTTGTCAAAGGCAAGCCGCAAGTCCTGATGTCGAGGTGACCTACTTACCCTGCTCCTGAAGGCCCACCATTCCTGCCCACAGACCCACCCCCGTGCCCTGTCCATTCAAGCCGGACCACAGAGTGACTACTGCCATTTTCTACCCACACTTACCCTCCAACCCTGCCGCAGACTGGCTGACCCCCAGTTCTGGTCACACTGACCCTTGATCTCAAGTGACACGGAGACCCCTTGACCTTGCCACTGACTGACCCCCCCACGGGAGATCAGAGAACAGTTAAATACTACACTGTGAGGGGAACAGGCCTTCGCAGAGGAGACACGGGGAGGAGGGGAGGAGGGAAGAGACCAGGGCCTGAGGCCACTCTCGGAAGGTCGGAGAGGCCTTGTGCAGGGCACGTCGCAGGCGCTCGAGGAATGCGAGTGGCCCGAAAGAATGAAGGAAGGAAGGAACGGGTGCGATGCAGGCAGCCGCCCGGCTGGGGCACAGCGGCCGAGGCAGGAAGCGGGTGGGGGTGCGCCGAGGCTGCTGCGGCCCGAGCGCAGCTGGAGGCAATGGGAGAGCAGTGGGGTCAGCGCCTCCGCTGGGTGGGGGCCCCCCCAGGCCGGGAGGCTGGGAAGCGGGAGGCCGCGCTGCTGGCAGAGCGGCGGGGGCGCCGCGAGGCTCCGGATGGGCTGCGAGCCCCGCCCGCGGGTTGCGGAGGGAGCCGGAGCCAGAGTGGAGCCAGAGCTCA